AGTATAACAGAACATAGTGTATCTGAACCTCTTCATCTTATACATATTGATTTGTGTGGTCCCACTATAGTTCCTAGATTAAGTGGTAAGAAATACATTCTTGTGATTGAAGATGACCATACCAAATTCACTTGGGTGTACTTTCTGCAAAACAAATCTGATACCACCAATGAGCTAATAAACTTAATTCACTACATAGAAGTTAGGGTAGGCAAGGCACTTAGAAGACTGAAAAGTGACAATGGTGGCGAATTCAAGAACAACGCCTTAGATAGCTTCCTTGTATCCAAAGGCATCGAACATAACTTTTTTGCACCCTACACTCCACAACTGAATGGTGTAGTTGAAAGGAGGAATCAAACATTATGTGAAGCTACTCGATCCATGTTGATCTTTTCCAACCTACCGTAATACTTCTAGGTCGAAGCCACTGATGCCGCTTACTTCCACAAAACAGATCCTTAATCAACAACATATTTCAAGTTACTCCATATGAAGCAATGAACAAGAGGAAGCCTAATGTCAAATTCTTTCACATATCTGGCTGTTGTTGCTACATCAAGAACAACAGGGATTAACTAGGAAAACTCACACCTAAGGCTAATGAAGGTATTTTTCTTTTAATATTGCCTTCATACTGCAGCCTATAAAGTTCTGAAGAAGCGAACCAGGGTGATAGTGGACAACAGTGATGTCACATTTGGTGAAAGTTATGTAAGGGTTCTGGATCCAAACCACTTTGGTCCTCAAATAGTAGTACGTTTTGATAAAATGAACCAGCCACCACCTGTTAATGCTTTTACTCCAGTGCATGCTATTGAAGTATGTAAGTCCCAAATCTGCTTGACGTATCAATCAGATCCGAATGATGGTGCGGAATCCCAATCAATCAGATGTTGCCGGATCAAAATAAAGAAGAAGGAAAAGAAGAATAAGATGAATCTAATGTATTGATGATATGAATGAAGATCCTTACAATAGATTCAGATACACTCTCTTATTCTCTCTAGTTTCTATCTCTCTCTATAACACCTTGAGTTTCACATGCTTAAGCTCCTTTCCTGGTCGTAAACTCCTCACCCACCTAACATCTATTTATATGGAACATGGGCCGTAAACAGGTTCACGCCCGTGAACCAGTTCACGGCCGTAAGCACCCACTTGTAAGTCCCAAATCTGCTTAATGTATCAATCAGATCCAACTGATGGTGTGAAATCCTAATCAATCAGATGTTGCCAGATCAAAATAAAGAAGAAAGAGAAGAAGAATAAGATGAATCTAATGTATTGATGATATGAATGAAGATCCTTACAAGAGATTCACACACTCTCTTCTTCTTTCTAGTTTATCTCTCTATCACACCTTGAGTTTCACACACCTAAGCTCCTTTCCTAGCCGTACACTCCTCACCCACTTAACATCTATTTATATGGAACATGGGCCGTGAATAGGTTCACGGTCATGAACCAGTTCACGGTCATAAACACCTACTTAGGTCGTGAACACTCAACTACAAACACATATTACATGAACGAAAACCCAATTGCCTAGAAAATCAAAGTATAAACCATATTTCAGACCCAACAACGGGGTATTACCGGAGATTCATCAAAGTTTTCTCATGTATAGTTGTACCTCTCACAAGTCTTACACGAAAGGAAGCAAAGTTCGAATGGAGTAAAGCTCAAGAAAAAAGCTTTCTCAACTTTAAAAGATCTTGTGACTCATGCTCCAATCTTATCACTTCCAAAAGGTGATAATGATTTCTTCGTGTATAGCGATGCTTCTGGGTTGGGACTCAGTTGTGTGTTGATACAACATGGTAAAGTAATAGCCTATGCATCAAGAAAACAGAAAGATTATGAAAGGACTTATCCCACTCATGACATCGAACTCGCTGCAGTGGTATTTGACCTAAAACATTGGAGACATTATCTTTTTGGTACAAAATGCCAGTTGTTTACCGAACAAAAAAGTCTCAAGTATATATTCAGTCAACAACTCTGAATATGAGACAACAACAAGCATGGAGCTGATTGATATGTGTATTTTTATATATCTTTTTATACATTATATCTTAATATTTTAGCCTTTATTATTCTCTTTTAGAACTAAAAAGTACTTATAATGCTTTGAATTATGATTTACAGCTATTAGTTATCGATAGAGCACAAAAGAAAATACTGGAGCAGAATTAGGGCTTAGAAGCTAAAAGAAAGAAAAAATGTTGGAGGAGCCAATTACGCCTAGCGTAATTGACTAGTACGCTTAGTGTAATGGCCAAACAAGGGTTACACCCAACGTAATTTATGGTTACGCCCAGCGTAACGGCCTGCATCCAGATTTCCTCATCGCGACATAATACTCAGTACGCCCAACGTAATATGACTTATGCCCAACGTACGTAAGTCGGTTCCAAGGGTTATAAAAAGTGATTATCAGCTAACCAGAGAGGGGGATTCGATTTCTAACCTAATTTAGTCGATAATTAACTTTTGTTAAGCTGTTTTGAGGGTCTAGAAGGCGGCTAGAAGGCCGTTAAGCTAATGGGAGCGGAGATCGGAAGGATTGGAGAGCGGATACATGTCGGTAATCATATGGGTTGTTAACGTGACCATGTTTAGCATTCCATTGTGATACTATTATGTGTTTAGTTTCTGATTTAGGTGTAAAAACCTTTTACTTTGGGTTTATGATTGAATGAAACCTTGATTATTGGATTAATTGCTATATTGAATTGTTTGTTTATGTTTAATTTATCTTGCCAAGCTTGTTAAAAGATCCTTATGTGTTAATGATAATTATTTGCTGTTAATTGTCAAGTAAATTAAGTTGTATGAACATCTGTTTGATTGCTTGTATCTTATGACTTTGATGACCATCAAGATTATAAGTCTAGGAATAGCGAATGTGAAACTAGGATTAACTTGGAAATAAGTAAGTTAATGTGTGAGCCTTGTGTGATGACCATCAACAAGAGGTTAATTGAGTGACCAAATTTGATTAACTATTATTACGAGTCTTGCTTGATACGAACTGAACACTAGGAAACATGTTACTTTAATCAACTGATCACTGTTTGAATTGACTTGTTTGCTAAAGGATTAGTATTAGTGAACACAAATTTAATCATTTTAATCGGTGAACATGAATAAATGAATTTGTGTATGAAATTGTCTATGCTTTTAAGATGTAATTTATCTAAACCAAAGTACATGAAGAGATTTGTTTCCCTGTTAGTTTATCGAGATTTGTTAATTAATTGTTTGTCTGAGATTTAATAAACCATTTCTTTAATTTTATGTGTCTTGTGTAACCTATTTTAAATATTTTAAATTAATTTACTACCGTTCCCCTTGTGTTCGACACCCTTGCTTATCAAAGCTATACTATACTCGATCGGGTTCACTGCCTGTAAGGTGTGGTTTAGATGCGATAAATTAGGACTTATAAATAAAAAAACCCAGTGCAAGAAAAATACACATCAAGTTTTTGGCGCCGTTGCTGGTGAACGACTTTTAATTAATTTAGTTTATTTGATTATTCGTTATTTGTTTTAGTTAGTTTTTATTTTTAGTTTTATTTTCGTTGATATCATTTCACTTGTCGGGAAGGTTCTTGTTGTTAATTGCAGGAATTTGGGATCGTACACATTGATTGACTTTACCTTTTGCATGGGTTTCGAGAATGCAAGCGATTACGGAATTCTTGACCTGCTTAGCCTACTACTTTGTTGATTTGTCCAACTCAATCCATGATGTGTAGTATAGCAAGGCGTATTGTGGTGGTTAAGTGGAAGACCGAGCTCTTGTTGTTCTTGACTAGTTAGGTCACTTCTTGTTCTACTTTTACTTAAAAGGGCGAAGAAAACAAAGGAAATATTCTAACGGGTCCCGAAAGTTATTGTTTTCACAAACCATTTCTTGTGTGCAAGGGTTTTAATCAACTGTTGTTGTTTGATATCAACAAAAACATGTGATCATGATATCTCATTTTTTTTAAAAAATGTCACTCATCGGAAAGTCATGGCTGTTGCTGAAGCAATTAAAAAAATAATATTTATAAGTTCCCAAATTTATTAGTTGGAAAAAGGAATTTCAAATAAGGAAATGGAAAATTTTCAGTTAAATTATGCCCAGCGTAATTGACGTTACGCCAAGCGTAGTCAACCTTTGATCGCGAATGACTTCTTCTTAGAACTGGAGGTATGCCCATCGTACATTTGAACTTACGCCCAGCGTAAATCGGCGACAGGTTATATCTTTTTACCCTTTGACTTTTTTGTTATTCTTTCAAATCCTTCCTTCACACACGCACGGAGACGGCCGAATACTCCACAAGATCTTCGATTTTTCTTCTTTTCTTGTAGAATCGACACAAAGGTAAGTTAATCGGATACCCTATTGCTTTGATTTGAGATTATTTTCATGAAAATAGAGGTATTAAGCCTAAATCAAAATCTAGGGTTTATGCACTTCTTGAAATAGGGCCGATTTTGCATGAATTTTTGTTTGTTTATGTCTTAATAAGATCGATTTCAGTCAATAAACTAAACCCTGGGACTTAATTTGGTCTTCATCCCGTCCAATAACCATCATTTCGAGTTTGTGGACGTACGCCTAGCATACGCCCTGAAGACTCCTTGGTTTTTGACTGCCCCTATGAACTCTCCCTGTGTATAATTGTTAAATGTTGGCTGATCATGGATAGATAAATAACGATCAGGAAACAGGTTCGAGTTCTTGGACATATGCTTAGGGTTGGTCTTTAACTGCCTTGTAAAATACCCCACACTTGTTATGCCTTGTAAAATACTCTTGCGCATATACCTGTGTATTGTATTCATATGATCTTAGACCAACAGGGGGGACAGATTCGATGCTTTGTACGTACGCCCAGCGTACAGTCATGCCCGAGCAGCATTATTTTTTTAGTCTAAATCTGTTAATGTTGGGATTATTTTGTTTGGTTTTGTGTTTGGTGTTTATTTGTGCAAATTATGGCCCGTAGAACTCAAAGGACCAACCCACCCGAGGACGTGACCGATCACCATTTCTTGCAGTTCCCGCAAACTCTAAACAATGCAACCCGGGCCAGATATGTCAACAATCTGAGTCTGCTGCTTACAAAGGAGATTGACATAGCACCCTCCTTTGACTGGGAACTGGCGACCCAGACTGGACTTGCTGCGCTGATCCAGGATTTTTTGCAATACACGCACTCGGACGCGAGTGGAGTGCATTTGTTCGTATGTCAGGGATGGGCAAGACTATTCAGGATCCAGGAGCCTGTGTATCGGGAATTTTTGCTGGAGTTTTATGCTACAGTTTCCTATGACCTTAGGAAGACACTCAATGATAGGACAACCTTTTCCTTCAGACTAGGTGGTGTGAGCCGGGAGTGCAGTGTGATTGAGCTTGCCACTCGAGTTGGGATATATACAGCAGACGAGACGAGGAGTGTCTACTTCTCGGCATTCCTTGCTGATTGTCTCACGAGCTGGCCGGATGACTACAATGAAAACACTTTTTGGGCCGAGATTACTGGGGGAGTGTACACACCATCTACTGCACGAGAGAGGATGACTCGATCTACCACATACAGATTGCTGCACCGTCTGATTTCCATATCTCTCACGCACCATAAGAATAGTGAGAAAGTGTCGTCTACAGACTTGTATTTCTTATGGGCACTTGTTACTCCAAGGAGGCACCTGAACCTTCTAGTTGCTTTAGCCGCTTATTTGGGTAGGAGGGCCAGGGGACCTTGGGAGGATAGCCCGATTTGCGGGGGGAATTTTATCTAGGGATTAGCTCAATCCTATCAGTTGTTGACGCGTGAGATTACGAGATCGATGGTGTTTCATGATATGAAGCCGACGAGCCTTCATTTATTGGAGTCGATGTGTGTACTTGAGCGGGGCGAGGATGGTGTCTTGCGAGTACGACCAGATGACGTGGCGGACGAGGATGGTGCAGTCGAGCCACAGCCGCGATGAGCCCAGTGGCATAGACCTGCTCCTCGAGGAGCGCAACAGGGACCTGAGCAGGAGATTTATATACGCTACCTGGCTCAGCGCATGGACGGGGGATTTCAGAGCCTGGGTGAGCGCGTTGCACATTTGGAGAGACAACAGTAGTGGTATGGGGATGCGTTGACCGCATTCTTTGCCCACCATGGGTTTCAGTAATCAGTTCCTTTCCCTCCACCATTCCAGTCACGACCTGATGGAGCCGGTACATCTAGGACACAGCAACACGATAACGAGGATGATGAGTGACTTAGTTTATCCTTTTTTATTTTTGTGTTATTTTTGCATTGCTTAGTATTAGTATTTTTTATTTGGTATGTAATTAAGTTTAATTTAGGTTGTTTTATTTTTGTTTTCCATGTTGATGCTCTTTGGTTGTTTAAATCTTTGCAAAATTTTCGCCCTTAGAACGCTGGCAGTAAGTTCAGCAGCTAGGTCCGGCTGTTGCTAGAGAGAGCCATGTGAGAATTCGAAGATTATAGTCAAGACCCACGATTTGTCATAAGTGTGGGGTGCATATTGATTTCGTGAGCAATTATTTAGAAGAGTGGCATTTTTACTATATTTTGACTCTTATGATATGGATGAGCTGTTCCCACACCATACAGTTTTATTTCGACGCGAGGTAGAAGTATCATCCCGGCTGCCACGACATGGTTGACACTTTCCTATGTCGTGGGCGAGTTTACATCGTGAGAAGAGGCTGCCATTCTTGATATGATGATGTGACCAACAATTTTCACATTGTGGCCATGTTTAGATTTCACATCTCTTGACGAGATGACGTGGTTGACACTTTCCCACGTCATGGTTACTACATATTGCATTTATTTGCAATCTTTGTACCACATCTTAGCAATCGGCGTTCTTGAAAATTTAGAAGCAGCAGTTCCAGTTTCCAGTCTTTCAGCAATGTTTGGAGCAACTTGTAGCAGCCCCATTCGATCTTGCCACAACTACCCCAGGGGAGTCTGTTCCTTTTTCTCCCTTTTTATGTGCTTAATTAGTTTTATGCATACAATGAGGGCATTGTATGAAATAAGTGTGGGGTAGGGGGTCGATAAAAGTAAATCAAAAACTGAAATAATAGTTTGAAAATTGCTAGATTTAGGAAAAAATTTAAAATTTATAAACTTGAAATAATAGTTTAATTTAGATAATCTAGTGATAATTTAAAATGTTGCTAATATTGTATGAGATGATCCGATGAGAACTCAAATGTTTAGTTGAGCCTATATACGTTCTAGTGCATTTGTGGCCTCCTTATTCTAGTGAAATAATGGGACAAAAACACAACCTCGCTTAGTTTGAAGGATGCAATATATTTAGCACCGTGTACCAGAAATGTATCCAGGAAAATTATTATCGTTAACCAATAAAGGTTGAAGTTTAGCGCCCCTGCTTAAGCATGTAGGGTTTTGAGTGAAAAAAGTGAGCTACATGTAAAAAAAGAGAGAGAGAATTACAAGAAAAAGTTTGAAGAATTTTTGGAGCATCAAAGTTAAAGTATGAAGTCAAAACATCAAAATTCCAAAGAAAATTCAAAAGTTGAAGATACCAAAAATCAAACAACAAGGTGTGAATTCAAAGAAATCATAGACCAAATGTCAAAGAAATGAAGAATTCAAAAAGAGCTCCATAGTCGTATGATAAATTGTAATTGTCTAGATTATGTATGCTTGGGTTGCTCAACCAAAAATACCTTGAGGTTAGGAGGTTTTCTGCGGATGGATTCAGAGGGATGCATAAAATGAGCATTGTTCGGAAAAAGTGGGCAAGTGTTTATGAGGATTGTGAGTATTTAGAGTATGGGGGGCTCTTTAGGAAGAAAAATTAGACACAAATGCATGTGTTGCGGTCTTGACATAATGGCTGAGTTTAAAATGGATTGTTAAGTGCGATATTGGTAAAATAAAAGTTTGCTTGGGGGAAAGCAAAAGCTAAGTGTGTGGTATTTTGATATGTGTATTTTTATATATCTTTTTATACATTATATCTTAATATTTTAGCCTTTATTATTCTCTTTTAGAACTAAAAAGTACTTATAAGCTTTGAATTATGATTTGCAGCTATTAGTTGTCGATAGAGCACAAAAAAAAAGACTGGAGCGGAATTAGGGCTTAGAAGGTAAAAGAAAGAAAAAATGTTGGAGGAGCCAATTACGCCCAGTGTAATTGACTAGTACGCTTAGCGTAATGGCCAAACAAGGGTTACGCCCAACGTAATTTATGGTTACGCCCAGCGTAACGGCATGCATCTAGATTTCCTCATCGCGACATAATACTCAGTACGCCCAACATAATACGACTTACGCCCAGCATACATAAGTCGGTTCCACGGGTTATAAAAAGCGATTATCAGCTAACCAGAGAGGGGGATTCAATTTCTAACCTAATTTAGTCGATAATTAACTTCTGTTAAGCCGTTTTGAGGGTCTAGAAGGCGGCCGGAAGGCCGTTAAGCTAACGGGAGCGGAGATTGGAAGGATTGGAGAGCGGATACATGTTAGTAATTATATGGGTTGTTAACGTGACCATGTTTAGCATTCCATTGTGATACTATTATGTGTTTAGTTTCTGATTGAGGTGTAAAAACCTTTTACTTTGTGTTTATGATTGAATGAAACCTTGATTATTGGATTAATTGCTATATTGAATTGTTTGTTTATGTTTAATTTATCTTTCCAAGCTTGTTAAAAGATCCTTATGTGTTAATGATAATTATTTGCTATTAATTGTCAAGTAAATTAAATTGTATGAACATCTGCTTGATTGCTTGTATCTTATGACTTTGATGACCATCAAGATTATAAGTCTAGGAATAGCGAATGTGAAACTAGGATTAACTTGGAAATAAGTAAGTTAATGTGTGAGCCTTGTGTGATGACCATCAACAAGAGGTTAATTGAACGACCAAATTTGATTAACTATTATTACGAGTCTTGCTTGATACGAACTGAACATTAGGAAACATGTTAGTTTAATTAACTGATCACTGTTTGAATTGACTTGTTTGCTAAAGGATTAGTATTAGTGAACACAAATTTAATCATTTTAGGAATCGGTGAACATGAATAAATGAATTTGTGTATGCAATTGTCTATGCTTTTAAGGTGTAATTTATCTAAACCAAAGTACTTGAAGAGATTTGTTTCCCTGTTAGTTTATCGAGATTTGTTAATTAATTGTTCGTCTGAGATTTAATAAACCATTTCTTTACTGCTTTTATGTGTCTTGTGTAACCTATTTCAAATATTTTAAATTAATTTACTACCGTTCCCCTTGTGTTCGACACCCTTGCTTATCAAAGCTATACTATACTCGATCGTGTTCACTGCCTGTAAGGTCTGGTTTAGATGCGATAAATTAGGACTTATAAATAAAAAAACCTAGTGCATGAAAAATGCACATCACTGATCAAAGACTATGACTGTGAAACTTTGTATCATCCTGGAAAGGCCAATGTAGTTGCTGATGCAATTAGTAAAAAAGTTTATTGTAATAGTATGTGTTATACTATTACTCACACTATAGTAAAGTTCACTATTCTAGATGAACTAGGGAAATGGCAAGTAAAGGCCTTATAGCCAGAAAATGTGAAGAAAGAAGGGATGGTACATTATATTGATGTTTTACTTGATGATCCACGAGGATTGAATGTATTCAAGAATCGGCTATGGATTCCAAAGATTGGTGGATTAAGATAGAAAATTTTAGATGAAGCTCATAAGTCTAAGCTATCAATATATCCTGGTACAAGTAAAAGTTACAATCATGTAAAAGCTGATTATTGGTGGCCTGGATTAAAGAAAGACATTAGAAGATATGTAGAGGAATGTTCAGTATGCTTACAACTCAAAGCAGAACACCAAAAGCCTTACGGAATTCCAGGAAGTCTTAGTGTTCCCGTGTGGAAATGGGAAGAGTTGTCCATGGATTTTATTACCAAATTGCCAAATACTGCTAGACAAAATGATAGTTTTGGGTAGTTGTCGACCGATTGACTAAGAGCATACGTTTTCTTGCCATCCCTGAAACGACTCCAATGGAGAAATACGCACAAGTGTACTTGGATGAAATTGTTGCGAGACATGGTGTGACACTAAAGATTAATTCCGATTGTGATACTCGCTTCACTTCTCATTTCTGGGAGAGTATGAAACGGGAATTGGGATCTCGAGTTTCTCTCAATACAGATTAACATCCCCAGACAGACGGTTAGACGGAGAGAACGATCCAAACAGTAGAAGACATGCTTCGTGCATATGTCTTGGAGTTCGGTGGTAACTGGGACAAGTACTTACCTCTTGTTGATTTTTCATATAATAACAGTTTCCACACTTTAATCAAAATGCCACCATATGAATCACTATATGGACGTATATGTCATACTCCATTATGTTGGCGCGAAGTAGGACAGAAAATCCTTGGAGGACCTGAATTGATTCAGAATACCACTGACAAGATTCAAATTGTATGAGAAAGAATGAAAGTGGGCGAGGATCGACAAAAGTCCTATGCAAAAAGGAGGAGACGACCCATAGAATTCCAGGTGGGTGATTTCGTAATGCTGAAGGTATCCCCATGGAAAGGCAGTATGCAATTTGGAAAGAAAGCAAAACTAAGTCCTAGATTTGTTGGTCCTTTCAAAGTCATCCACAGAATTGGTAAACAAGCATACCACTTGGAATGGCCTGAAGATTTAGCAAGTATTCATGATGTGTTTCATGTAAGTTATCTGCGTAAATGTTTAAACATATGTGATGAAATGGTTCTGTTATCCGAGGTGAAACTGGATAATAAGTTAAGATATGTAGAAGAGCCTGAAGAAATCGTAAACGAAAGAACAACTAATCTACGTAATAAAGAAGTGAAGTTGGTGCTAGTCAAGTGGAAACACCATAAAGGCCTAAGTTATACTTGGGAAAATATGAACAAGATAAGAACGAAATATCCCCATTTGTTTAAATCGTTGTGATTTTGGGGACGAAATCCTCAAAAGGAGGAGGTATTTGTAACATACATGTTAATAACCTTGTTCGATTATCGTGTTTTGTAAAGCTTATTAGCTTAAAATGAATAATATTATATGTTTTTGAGAATTGAGTTCTAACAAGATATTTTTTACGAGATTTGAAGTAAAACTATGTTTAGAATCACTCAAAATGTATTGGACGTCTTATGAAATTCCGATCAAAAGTCAACTTTCGAAATTAACGAAAATATAAAGTTTGAAATAAATAAAAATAATGTTATTGAAAGTTGTAGATTATCTCGTTAGAAGCATTTAGGTGAAAACCTCATCAAAATCCGAGTTATAACGAAGAAGTTATGACCAATCGAAGATTCGCGACAAAACCGGCAAAACACTATTTAGCGTAAGAAGTGAGTTTTCAATAAACTAATTTTTAGCTTTAGTGATCTAATAAAACTCATAGTATTCGTTAAACCGGGAACTTTCATAACAAAAAACGTCAAAACCTGACTTCGTATGAGAGAGTTATGATTTTTCTAAGATTCGGTATAGCAATATATAGCTAAAAAGTCGAAATAAAGATCGAGTTATTTTTAGCCGACACAACCTAAACGAGAATCGAATGACTTGTCAATAGTAGTACAACGTAAAAACACATACAAAAACGGACGTTGGATGAAGAAGTTATGAATTTTTAACGGATTTTCCTATCCCGGTTTGTT